TTAAAGAAGAATTAATGCTAATTCTTCCCAAACTCTTCCAAGAAATTGAAGAAGAGAGACTATTTCTGAATTCTTTGTATTAAGCAAGTACTGCCTTGATATCAAAATCAGACAAGAACACTGTAAGAAAAGAAAATTACATTCTGATGAACATATGTACCAAAATCCTAGCAAACCTAATCCAACAGCACATTAAAAAGTTTATAGGCTGGGCATGGTGGCTCATCCCTGTAATCCCAACACTTTGGGAGGCCAAGGAAGGGGGATCATGAGGTCAAGAGATCGAGACCATCCTGGCCAAAATGGTGAAACCCTGTCTCTACTAAAAACACAAATCAAGTTGAGATTCATTCCAGGGATGCAAGGATGGTTCAACATACACAAATCTATAACTGTGAGATATCACATTAACAGAATAAAAGGAAAAAACCATATGATCATGTTATTAGATGCAAAAAAAAAAAAAAGGTATTTGACAAAGTTCAACATCTTTTCTGATTAAAACTCTTAAAAAATTAGGTATACCAGGAATGCACCTCAACACAATAAAGACCATATATATCCAATTTTTGGAGAGATATTGCCATGTAATTTTTTTCTCACTCAATAGTGTAAAGTTAGAAGTTTTTCCTCTAAGAACTAGAAGAAGACAGCCAGGCGTGGTGGCTCATGCCTGTAATCCCAGCACTTTGGGAGGCCGAGGTGGACGGATCATGAGGTCAAGAGATCAAGACCATCCTGGCTAACATGGTGAAACCTGGTCTCCACTGAAAATACAAAAAAAATAGCCAGGCATGGTGGCACGTGCCTGTAGTCCCAGCTACTTGAGAGGCTGAAGCAGGAGGTGGCATGAACCTGGCAGCAGAGGTTGCAGTTAGCCAAGATTGCGCCACTGAATTCCAGCCTGAGCAACAGAGTGAGATTCTGTCTCAAAAAAAAAAAAACAAAACAAAACTGGAAGACGACAAGGATGCCCACACTCACCACTTCTATACAATATTGTGCTAGGTCCTTACTAGAGCAATTAGGTAAGAGAAAGAAGTAAAAGATAAAAAGTAGTAAAATTGATATTTACGGATGACATGATCTTCTATGTCGAAAACTTATTGACAAAAATCTATAAATTTACAAAAATCTACAAAACAAAAAAAGACAAATTGAGAAACAAAAATCAATAGTATTTCTGTACACTAAAGAAGAACTAACAAAAAAGAAATCAAGGAAACAATCCCATTTGTAATAGCTTAAAAAATACTTAGGAGTCAAGGTAACCAAGGAAATGAAAGATCTGTACACAAAAGTACTATAAAACATTAATATAAATTGCAGAATACATAAATAGAAAGATAGTCTATGTTAACAAATTGAAGAAATACTGTTGACATTTTCATGCTACCACAAGCTATCTTTACCAAAATTCCTGTGTCATTTTTAACAGAAAGAGAAAAAAAATCCTAAAATTCATACAGAAACACAGAGAAAAAAGCCTGACTAGCCAAGGCAGTCTTGAACAAAATGAACAAAGCTAGAGGCCCTCCACTGCTTGACTTCAAACTATATTACAAAGCCACAGTAATTAAAACAGCATGGCACTAGTATAAAAATAGAAACACTAACCAATGGAACAGAATAGAGAGCACAAAAATGAACCCATGCCTTTAGTCAATTGACTTTGATAAAAATGCCAAGAACATACACAATGGGTAAAGAACAATCTCTCCCATGAAGGACTTTGAGAAAACGAGATATTCACATGCAGAAGAATAATATTAGCCCCACCCTATTTCACACAGTGTACAAAAATAAACCCAAAATGAATTAAAGATTTAAATGACCTGAAACTATAAAAGTATTAGAAAAATTAGAATAAAAGTATTAGAAAAAAAGAATTAGAAAAACACAGAGGAGAAAACTACACAACACTGGTTTGGGCAATTATTATTATTATTTTTATTTAATCCCCAAAAGCTCAAATAACAGGCTGGGCACAGTGGCTCATGCCTGTAATCCAAGCACTCTGGGAGGTCAAGGTGGGCAGATTACGAGGTCAAGAGATCGAGACCATTCTGGCTAACATGGTGAAATCCCATCTCTACTTAAAAATACAAAAAATGGCCAGGCGCGGTGGCTCAAGCCTGTAATCTCTGCACTTTGGGAGGCCGAGACGGGCGGATCACGAGGTCAGGAGATCAAGACCATCCTGGCTAACACAATGAAACCCCGTCTCTACTAAAAATACAAAAAAATTAGCCGGGCGTGGTGGCGGCGCCTGTAGTCCCAGCTACTTGGGAGGCTGAGGCAGAAGAATGGCGGGAACCTGGGAGGCGGAGCTTGCAGTGAGCCGAGATCGCGCCACTGCACTCCAGCCTGGGCGACAGAGCGAGACTCCGCCTCAAAAAAAAAAAAAAAAAAAAAAAGCTCCAATAACAAAAATAGACAAATAGAATTACAGTAAACTGAAAAACGTTTGCACAACATTTGCACAATATAGAAAACAACTACAAGTGAAGAGACAACCTGCAGATCAGAAAAAAAATTGCAAGCATTACATTTTATAAGGAACTAATATCCCAAATGTATAAGGAACTCAGAAAACTTAATAGCAAAAAAAAAAAAGTTTAATTTAGAAATGGGCAAAGAATCTGAATATTTTTCAAAAGAAGACATACAAATGACCAACATATATATATAAAAATATATACAATGCTCAATATCACTAATTATTAGGGAAATAGAAATTAAAACTATGATATATCTTTCAGAAGAGCTAGCATCAAACAGAGGAAAGATGACAACTGTGTTGGTGAGGATGTGAAGAAAAGGGAACACTGTACACTGGTGGGAATATAAATTAGCACAGCCATTACAGAAAACTGTGGAGTTTCCTTAGAAAACTAAAAATAGGATTACCATATGTTCCAGCAACCCCATTCTAACTATATATCCCTAGGACTTGAAATTAGTATGTCTAAGAGATATCAGCACTTCCATGTTCATTGTGGCATTGTTTACAATAGCCAAGTCATGGAATCAATCTAAGTGTCAATCAATGGATAAATGGATAAAGAAAATGAGATATATACACATCATGGAATGTTCCTCAGCCTTAAAAAGAGAGAGAAAAAGAAAAAGAAAGAAATTATTTCATTTACAACATGGATGAACCTGGAGGACATTATGCTAAGTAAAATAAGTGCGGCACGGAGACAAATACCCAGTGATCTCACTCATGTGGAATTTTAAAAATTAAATGCGCAGGAGCAGAGGGTAGAACTGCGGTTACCAGAGGCGGGAAGGTAGGGAAAATGAGAGATGTGGTCAAAGAACATTAAGCTTTAAACAGGATAAATGATATACATTTAAAATGAGGAACTGGGCGCACTGGCTCACACCTGTAATCCCAGCACTTTGGGAGGCCGAGGCAGCCAGATCACAAGGTCAAGAGATCAAGACCATCCTGGCAAACATGGTGAAACCCCATCTCTATTAAAATATATAAAAAAAAAAAATTGTCTGGGCATGGTGGAGTGAGCCTATAGTCTCAGCTACTTGGGAGGCTGAGGCAGGAGAATCACTTGAACCCAGGAAGTGGAGGTTGCAGTCAGTTGAGATTCTGTACCCCACAATTATATACAATTATAAGTTGTCCTAAATAAACACAGTTTAAACATTTATGCTTCAACATTTAAGCCTAAGAACATTTGGGAAATAGTCTGTTTTAGCTCCATCTTTTATATTCCATGAATTCCCTTAAGTCTCACTTGAGGAAAATCAAGAAATTTCACAGAAGTTAGTCACACAAGCACTGAAAAGCTTGAGGTCATGAAAAACCCATGTACCTCCTAAGCCTCTCTTCTCTGTGAACATGAGGGGCTACCTTAGTGCCAGCAAGATGGAAACCAGGGAGATATGCACAGCGGCCAGTGTGGATAAGAGGAGACAGACCTTTTCCTTGAGAGACAGAAAGTGGTATGGATATATACCATAATATCACAATATGATATGAGTGGTATCCTGAGAAGCCTTAGGCAAGTAAAGGATGAAAACCAAGAAATACTGTTTCACCCAATAACATAACAGTATCCAAATCAAAATAGCCTTCTAAAATTATATTTAATTCTGGGTTTTGTAAACATATTTTAAACTTGCAATGCAAGTTAGATTTTTAGAAATATGTATTTCATGTAAATTAACATCCCCATTGCCTATTTTATTTGAGTATTGCAAATACTTAAAAAGTTTAGTGAAGAATATTTACTTAGAAGGTAATTAAGGAAATCATTTTTTAATGAAAGCAATTAATGTATTCACAGTGCTTTGAGTTAATATAATTGCTTAATATTAATGTGCAGCAGAGATGGCTTAGTTAAATTAGTTTTCACTTGATACAGAGAATCAAAACTTTCCATTGAGATTAGATTTCACCAAGTAACCTGCATCTCTAGACACATAAAGTGTTTAAGGATAGTTATTGTAGAAACATTTCAACATAATTGAAAATTATAGTAGACAATCCCTTCATTGGTCTTTGTAGTCAAAGTTAAACTGTTAAGTTGTTATGATGCAAGTATGCCTAAATGTTAGCAATCCCTAGTAAGTCGGTATCACTGTAGAGGTGGACATACAGTAATCACAGAAACATCAAATGAAGGTAGCCTCTTCTTGTATTATGCAGCATCGCTTTGAGAACTAAAAATGTTCAAGCTTTTCTACAGATTCAGAGCTGCTTCCTGAAAATAAGTTTGGTCCAGCCAGAAGGAACTCTCGTAGTCCACCTTGTACAGAAAGAGGGATGAACTTCCACAAGGAGAAACATGAGTTTTCAACTTTCTTTAAAAATCCTGTTTGCAGACTGCATGAAAAGCATTTAGAAGCCATGAGTCTGCTTTCAACCAGACAGAAATGCCTTGCTTCAAGGGAAAACTGTGTGTGCTATCTAGTGCACCTACCAAAAGTCCTTGGGAGAGAGAGGCTAGAAAGAAAGAAAAAGGGCGTCTCTCTCTTTCCGCCGTTCAAGATGCCGAAAGGAAGGAAGTCTAAGGGGAAGAAGGTGGCTCCGGCACCTGCAGTCACAAAGAAACAAGAGGCCAAGAAAGTGGTGAATCCCCCGCTTCAGAAAAGGCCTAAGAATGTTGGCATTGGACAGGACATCCAACCCAAAAGAGACCTCGCCCACCTTGTGAAAAGGCCCTGCTATATCAGGATGCAGCAGCAGAGAGCCATCCTCTGTAAGCGACTAAAAATGCCTCCTGCGATTAACCAGTTCACCCAGGCACTGAACCACCAAACAGCCACTCAGCTGCTTAAGCTGACCCGCAAGTACAGACTAAAGCAAAGCAAGAGAAGAAGCAGAGGCTGTCTGTCGGCCCCAGCTGAGAAGAAAGCTGCCGGCAAAGGGGACATCCCCACTAAGAGACCACCTGCCCTTCGAGCAGGAGTTAACACTGTCACCACCTTGGTGGAGAACGTGAAAGCTCAGCTGGTGGTGACTGATGGCACATGACGTGGATCCCATTGAGCTGGTTGTCTTTCTGCCTGCCCTGTGTCATAAAATGGGGGTCCCTTACTGCATTATCCATGGGAAGCCAGACTGGGACGTCTAGTCCACAAGAAGACTAGCACCAAAGCTCAAAAAGCAAAGGCCAAAGAACTTCCTACTAAACTGGATTAAATGTACACTGTTGAGTTTTCTGTACATAAAATTAAAATAATACAAATTTTCCTTAAAAAAAAAGAAAAGAAAAGAAAAGAAAAAACTAAAGCACACCGAGCCCTAGGCATTCCACCGGGCTCCGATACAAGATGCTCTGATAGTAACTGTAATATATTGAATTGCAGTTATTTGCAAATTTGCAATTAAATATGTCAATCTTTTCTTAGACTAAAATGCTTCTTAAGAGTGCAGGCTTTGAGGCCGGGTGCAGTGGCTCATGCCTGTAATCCCAGCACTTTGGGAGGTTGAGGCAGGTAGATCATGAGGTCAGGACTTCATAACCAGCCTGGCCAACATGGTGAAACCGCGTCTCTACTAAAAATCCAAAAATCAGCCAGTGTGGTGGCAGGCACCTGTAATCCCAGCTAGTTGGAAGGCTGAGGCAGGGAAATGCTTGAACCTGGGAGGCGGAGGTTGCAGTGAGCCAAGATCGCGCCATTGCACTCCATCCTGGGCAACAGAGCAAGACTTTGTCTCAAAATAAAGAGTGCATGCTTCGGGCCCAGACACCAAGTATTTGTATGTTAGGCCTGTCATTGTATTTGTATGTTAGGCCTGTCATTAGCTATGAGGGAGATCAGGGAGATCTGTGCAAGCTACTTCTATTTCTGTTCCTGTTTCCTCACCTTTAGATGGTCAGTAACAGTAACTCCTTCATACAGCTGTTGCGAGGATTAAACAAATCAACAGAAGTAAGGTATTTAATAACACCTAGCACATAATGAGCATTCAGTAAATTTAGATAATATTCTCATTTTTACTGAATTGCAAATTCTGTAAGTGCAGATTTATCATTTACAACTCTCTCTACTGCAGTGTTTAATACTGTGTCTTGTACCAAGTAAACTAAACTACCTTCCCTCACTGCTTTACCTAACTCTGATTCATACTTCAGACTCAGAAAGACCTGTCCTGATTGCAGGGACACAGAAACCCCTTCTACTACATGTTCCAATAGCAAGTGATGCCTGTCACACTCAACTTGATTACTTGCTTTTAAAAAATAAAAAAAAAAAATCTTCCTTACAAATATATAAGCATCAGGAGAAATCGTTTATGGATTGATTCACCATTGTGTCATTAACAAATATCTTAGCGTCTAATATGAGTGGTAGTCAATAGATATTTGTTGAATTATTGAAATCATTAAACAGAGCAGACCCAGCTGTCTAGATGCTAGTTGCTCATATTCATAATTTTTTTATTTTTAATTTTTGAATACATAATAGTTGTACATATTTTGGGGTACATGTGAAACTTTGATGTAAGAATACAACACGTAATGATGAAATCAGGGTAACTGGGATATCCATCACCTCAAGCATTTATCATTTCTTTGTGTCAGGAACATTCCAATTCCAATCTTCTAGTTACTGTGAAATACACAATAAATTACTATTAACTATGGTTACCCTATTGAGCTACCGAACATTACATCTTATTCCTTCTATCTAAATGTATTTTTGTACCTGTTAACAATTCTTTATCTCCCCCTGCCCACTACCCTTCCAGACTCTGATAACCACAATTCTACTCTCTATTTCCATAAGATCATCTTTTTACTTCCCAAATACAAGTGAGAACATGCAGTATTTGTCCTTCTGTTGTTGGGTTATTTCATCACCTCACATAATATGCTCCAGTTCCATTTACATTGTTGCAAATGACATGATGGCATGATTTCATTCTTTTTATGGTTGAAGAATATTCCATTCTCTCTCTATAGATGTACCACATTTCATTCACCCATTTGTCTGCTGATGGACACGCAGATTCCATATCTTCACTATTGTGAACAGTGCTGCAATAAACATGGAAGTGCAGACACCTCTTCAATAGACTGATTGCTTTTCTTTTGTGTATATACCCGGTGGGATTGCTGGATCATATGGTAGGTCTATTTTTAGTTTTTTGAGGAACCTCAAAGCCGTTCTCCATAGTAGTTGTACTAGTTTAATTCCCACCAACAGTGTACAATGGTTCCCCTTTCTCCACATTCTTGCAGCATCCCATATTGCCTGTCTTTTTGATAAAAGCCATTTTAAGTGGGATGGGATGATAGCTCATGATTATTTTGATTTGAATTTCTCTGATTAGTGATGTTGAACATTTTTTAAATACCTGTTGGCCATTTGTATCTCTTCTTTTGAGAAATGTCTGTCCAGATCTTTTGGCTATTTTAAAATCAGATTATTTGGTTTTTTTGTTTTTGAGTTGTTTGGACTCCTTCTATATTCTTAGTTACCAATCACCTGTCAGTTAGATAGTCTGCAAATATTTT